GGGATTTATCCGAATATACACACACACACACCGCACACACACACCGCCTGGGCACCGACGCCCTGCTGCCCCAACGGGCGGTGGACATGGATATATTTAGGCCCCCCCGGGGCCCGACTACATATATATATATATATATATATATATATATATATATATACGTCATACATACATACATATATATATATATATATATATTCGGGGCCCGGTGTATATTTAAATATCTCTATATATGTATAAACGTCAAATGAATGAGTGAACGAACGAGCGAGCGAACGAATGAATGAATGAATACATAAGTAAGTGTGTGTATACATACATACATACATACATGCATGCATACATACATACATACAGACAGACAGACAGACAGGCAGGCAGACAGACAGACAGGCAGACAGACAGACAGACAGACAGACAGACAGACATACCCATATACATATACATATACATATACCTATACATACCCATATACATATACCTGTACATTTACATTTACAAATATATATCCATATACATATACATATACATATACATATACATATACATATACATATACATACAAGTGGCACGTGTGTGCCCAGGCTCATACAACAAGCTGAAGGGGCGTTTGAAGCAGGAGTGACATGCAACAGCGAAGTCGCACTCGAGCGCAAGTAGGGTTGCCACACCTTGCGATGTGTGTACCAGGGCCCCCCAGGAAGCCTCAGGAGGCCCGACTTGGATACCAGAAGAGGCTCCAGGAGGCCCCAGGATTGTGAGTGTTGTGTGTGTGTGATGTGTGCTTTGTGTGGTGCGTGCTTTTTGTGTGTTGTCGGTGTTGTGTGTGTATGTTATGTTTGTCTAGCGTGTGATGTGTTGGGCGTGATTTGTGTCTCTGTGTGTGCATGTAGTTCTGAAGCCCCAGGAGGCCCCAGGAGGCCCCAGGCGGCCTCAGCAGGCCCAGGAGAACTCCAGGAGGCTCCGAGGCGGGGTCTGGGGTACCAGAAGGTCCAGAAAGCCCCAGGAGGCCCCAGGAGGTTCCAGGAGGCCCCCAGGAGGCTCCGAGGAGGGGTCTGGGGCTCGATTTTGGGATGATTTTTCATGCGAAACCGCCATTCTCTAAGAATCGGGGTCAAAATTATTGAAATTACCATGTGTGTTTGAAGGTGTTATGTTAAAATATTGAAATTCCCATGTGTTTTTGGACCCTGACGTCACGATCTGCGTGAGGGGTGCCACCGATTTTCAGAATATCGAGGATGTCCCGAGCGAAACGGCCAGAAAAATCGCGGACGACGTGCGCATTAATCGCCTCTGAGCTCTACTCCCTCGGAGAGGTGCGTATGAGAATACACATACACATACACATACACATACACATACACATACACAGACATACCTATATATATATATATATATATGTATGTGTATACGTATTTGTGTATATATACATATACATATATATGTGTATATATATATATATCCATACCCATATCCAGGCCCATACCCAACCCGCCGCCTCTCGAGGTCCCCGAAAATCGATCCTCCAGGCGGTGGCTATGTACAAATTCCCGCCTCGGAGCCTCCGCCATGTCGCCCTCGACGAGCTCTGGCGAGCGGGCGGTGCACAGCGGGCTGCCTCGTCGAGTCCGCGGCGGGCTCGCCTGTGGAGCGTTTTCTTCTTCGGCGCTTCGACATTGGGCGTAAGGGGGGGGGAACGCGGGGGGTCTGGCTCCGGACCTCTGTTTAATGCGAGTATGAGCATTTTCTTAGGGTGGAGTGCCCAGGGTGAAATCCATATGGCCTTTTGCACCTCGAGAATCAATCCGTCGTGCGATTCACCTTTTGCAGATCCGAACCTCGGAAATTCATCGAAACGGCATTTCAGATTTCACCCTTTGCCCTCTACCCGAAGAAAATGCCCAGCGAGTGTTTGCAACCGTGCGACCTGTGGGGGAGGCCCCACCTGCTTGAAACAGGCGCCCAAAACAGCCAAGATCTACTCCAGGGGGGGGGGGAAGGGGGTGCGAGGGCCCGCGCCGATCGGCACAGCAGCGAATGAGAAAACGATCACCTGGAGGAATACCGATAGCAGCTGTCTCGCAGCTCCGCGGGTGGTCCCCAGGAAGGGGGTGCCCAGCGGGTGACGACATCCCAGGGTGCGCGATGCACCGCCGCCTGACTGGGAAAATCCCTCCCCCCTCCGGGATACCGGGGGGGGCGGAAAGAAAACATCTCCCCCCACCCTTCCCCGGGAGCTGGTGCGGGCGAGGGTGGCCATCCCTCCCCAGGAAGCCAGGAGAGGGAGGGGGGATCTGCCTGCACCCCCCCGTCTCTCCCCTCCCCTGGTTCGAAACGGGGTTTGGGGGGGGGTCGAACGGGCCCGAATCGAATCCTGCCACTAGGGTCGAATCCTGCCACTAGGGATAGAGCCATCTCTAATATCCATCCGACTAGGGCTCGACCAAGCTCTGAAAGGGTCCTAAAAAATTTAGTCGACCCTGTCGGCGTGTGGAAGACGTATCCTGGTCTCGTCATCTTGCGTGGGTCGTCGTCGCCCACGAGATCGTCACATCGGCTCCAAGAGGGGTGGTCGGCTCCCCTCGGGGGAGGGGTGCTGTCCACGACACCGCTCCCCGGGCGAGGGGAGCGGCCGCGTCCCAGAGCAGCCAATCTGACCCCCCCCAGAAACAGGGGGGAAGCCACTCTGAGCAACGTCGCATCTTACTCGAAGGGAAGCCCCTTCCCTTTTATCCCTTCCCCCCGAAGGGGGGCGGGGGGGTCACACCCAGATGCCGGGGGGGGGGGGGCACTCGGGCGGCTCCCTTCGAGGGAGGGGAGCGACCGCGACGCGGAGGGGAGGCTCCCCTCGGGGCAGGGGAGCTGCCCACGACACCGCCACGTCGGCTCCAAGAGGGGGAGTGGTCGACTTTCCCCGGGCGAGGGGAGCGGCCGCGACCCGGGGGGGGAGCCAACCTGCTCCCCCCCAGACACGGGGATGAAGCCAATCTGAGCAACGTCGTAGCTTACTCGAAGGGAAGCCCCTTCCCTTTTATCCCTTCCCCCCGAGGGGGGGGGGGTCAAACCCCGATGCCCGGGGGAGGGAGGGGGGCACCCGGGCGGCTCCCTTCGGGGGAGGGGAGCGGCCGCGACGCGGAGGGGAGCGGCCGCGACCCCTGGCATGGGGATCATCGGCGTGTGAGATGCTTCCCCTCCCCAAACCCCTCCCCCTGGAGCCCGGTCCGGTCGATTTGAAGGGGGGGAGGGGGGGGCGTCCGGCCAGAGCTCACCAGGGGGGTCTGGCCCTTCCCGGGCCCATTTTGGAGGTCCACGACAGCTTCTGGGGCCGCCCAAGAGGCCCCCAAGACGGTCCAAGAGGGCCCCGAGACGCTGAAAGATCGTTCCAAGACACCTAAGATGGGCCGAAAGATCGTTCCAAGACGCCTAACATGGGCCGAAGACGGCCCAAGAGGCCGCCAAGACGTTCCAAGAGGCCTCCCAGGGGGCCTCCAAGAGGCCAAAATTTCTAAATTCCCTTAGAATCTTTGAATTCCCTCTGGAAAACGTACATTTCTAGCACATACGATATTTCCGCCTTCACAGCGTGGAAGCCCTTCCAAGATGCCTCCAAGACCGCCCTAAGACGGCCCCATAGGCTCCCAAGAAGCCCCCACCAAGGCACAAGAGGCGCCCAAAACGACACAAAAGGACTCCGAGACGGCCCCAAGAGGGGCCCGAAAGGGGGATCACGAAACGAACATTCCAGCCGTCCGCCCCTAGAGGCTCCCAGGAGGCCACAAGAGGCCCCCAAAAGGCGTCCAGACGCCCCCAAAAGGCCCCCAACAGGCCCCCAACAGGCCCCCCCGAGGCCTCCAAGAGGCCCCTAGGGGCCCCAAGAGGCCCCCAAGAGGCCCCCAAGAGGCTTCTCCAAAAGACCCTAAGCACAAAGAGCGAAACATATATATATATATATATATATATATATCCCTGGGGGCGAGGCCGGGGGCCCCAGGACAGGTGCCCCGACCCCCCATGGGGGGACCGGGGCTCATTTTCCCCCTGTTTTTACAGGGTTTCCGCGTCCTGGGCCTCGGAGGCCGCCGCCTCCGACCTCCCATGGGAGGACGGGGTGGCCAGGGAGGTCCAAAATAGTCCAGGAGGGCCTCCAGAGGCCCCAAAGACGGCCCAAGCGGGCCCCGAGTCGCCGAAAGACCGCTCCAGGACGCCCAAGATAGGCCCAAGACGGCCCGAGAGGCCCCCCAAGGCACTCCACGACGCTTCAAGACGCCTCTCCAGAGCGCTTCCAGAGGCCGAAATCGTCAATTGTACGAAGGTTTTCGAACCATTTTGGCCTTCCAGCCTTTTCGGCTGTCCGACGTTCCAAGACGGCTCAATAGGCTCCCAAGAGCGCCCCAAGACGGCCCAAGAGGGCCCCAAGACGGCCCCAGAGTCGCCCAAGACAGCCCAACAGAGCCCCAAGACGGCCCCAAGATGCGCCCAAGAGGGGGACCACGACTCCAAAATTCGACCCTCCCGCTTGAAGAGTGCCCCAGGAGGCCCCAAGGAGCCCCCAAGAGGCCCCAGGAGGCCCCCAAGAGGCACCCAGGAGGCCCGAACGAGGCCTAAAGAGGCCACAAGACAGCCCCGAGGAGGCCCCACAACGGTCCCAAAACGGCTACCGAGAAGCTGCGAAATTGCCTTCACGACGTCCCCGACAGGCCAACCACGAGATCCAAACCAACACCCATGAGGCCTCTGACCCACCACCCAGGGCACGGTGGCGGGAGCAGTGACAGCACTTGTGCACAGCATGTTCCGGCGGGAGCCTTCCGGAACACGCTGCAGGAGGAGGAGGAGGAGGAGGATCAGGAGGAGAGAGAGTTGGAGTGGGAGGAGGAGGATGGGGACGAGGAGGAGGAAGAGGCCTCCCAGACAGCTCCAAGATAGCCGAAGAGGCTTCCAAGAGGGCCCTGGGCGGCCCACGAGGGTCCCAAGGCGGTGCCTGAGGCGCCCAAGACGTCCCGAGAGGGCCCCAAGACGGCCCCAAGAGAGGCCCAAGAAGGGAAACACGAACCGAGAATCCGAGCTTTCTACCCCGAGAGGTTCTCGGGAAGTCCCAAGAGGCCCCCAATCGGATCCAAGAGGCCCCCAAGAAGCTCCCAAGTGGGCCGACGAGGCTCCAAGAGATCGCCCAAGGTGGCCCCAAGAGGCACAACTCATAGTTTTACGATTGGGCTTTGACGGGTTTTAATGTTTTCGGCCTTTTGGCATCCCGATGCTCCAAGACGGCCCAAGAGGCTTCCAATACCGCTCCCATATAGAGGAAGAGGCCTCCAAGAAATCCCCAAGACGGCCCGCGAGGGCCCCAAGACGGTGCTTGAGGCGCCCAAGACGGCCCGAGAGGGCCCCAAGAGCCCCAAGAGAGGCCCAAGAAGGGGAACGCGACCCAACAGCAGAGCGGTCCCCCCAAAAGGCCCACAGGAGGCCGCAAGAGGCCCCCAAGTGGTCCGACGAGGACCCCAAAAGCTTCCCGAGAGCCTAAAAGGCCCCTAGGAGACGTCCAAGAGGCTTTAAAATAGCCCAAGAGTGCCCTCGATGCGTCAAAACTGCTTCCAGGAGGCCCCCGGGAGGCTTCCGGATTGCCTCAATCTGGCCGCAGGTGGCCTCAAGTCGGGCTTCCACGCAGCCAAGACGGCCAATGAAAGCTTCAGATTGCAGAACCGATGCCCCCAAGGGACCCTCAGACGCCCCCCCAAGAAGCACCCAAGAGGTGCCTCCATCAGCCGGTTGACGAAGCATGCGGAACACCCCAGAAGCTCCTCAGATGCCGTCGCGCGCCTGTGCTTGATATCGTTGTCCAAGATCGTCCAGCGCCCCCCTGGCCTGGGCTAGAACCTGAACGCGCGCGAAGCGCGCGCGATGGTTCTAGCCCAGGGGCCCGAAAACAGCTGCCCGACCCTCCAGTACCGGGGCTCATTTTCGCTGTGCTTTTACGCGGTTTCGGCGTCCCGGGCCTCGAAGGCCGCCGCGATGCTCCCGGACATTTTCCAGATCTTCGGCGCGGGCTCCAAGACCATTCCGCAGAGGGCTCCAACAGGCTCCAGGGCAGCCCAAGAGAGCTCCAAGACGGCTCCAGGAACGACTGCAGGGTCTCAGTTTTTCTGTGTGTTCTGCAAGACGGCTCCAGGAAGACTGCATGTCTTATGAGGATGGCTTCCGCCTCTTGCCCCGAGCATCCCAAACTGCCTGAACAGTCTCCACTCGCCTTCCCCAAACCCAGCGCTTGCCCAAGCGCGTTCCAGACGGTCTTCGCCGGAACGCGCTGGAATGATCACGCGCTGCGGTTTCCCATGCCAACGTCCTCGGACGTGGGCGCCCTGCCACGAGCGCGTTCCGGGAAGATGCTCCCGGAACGCGCTGAAAAGATATGGCCACATCTCGGGGACGCTCCCGGCACCGCTGCCCCAGCCTTTCCGGCAGCCTCCACAGCGCTCCAGGAGGGCCCAAGACGCCCCCCAGGAGCCCCCAGAATGCGAAAGGATGGCCCAAGATGCTCCCGAGCAGCCCAAGTCAGCCCTCCGACGGCTCTCGAGGCTTCCAGGTGGCCTCCAAGAGACCCCAAGAAGTCTGATAGGTATCACGGTACGGCCCGAAGAGGCCAAAGTCGTATATGTTCAATGGTCTTTTCAATGTTTTTGGCTTCTCGCGTTTTCGAGCTTCCAACGGTCCAAGAGCGCCGAAGAGCCGCCATGGGGGTACCGGGGCTCATTTTCCGTGTGGTTTTACAGGGTTTCCGCGTCCTGGGCCTCTGAGGCCGCCGCCTCCGACCCCCCATGGGAGGACGGGGCGGCCGGGGAGGTCCAAAATAGTCCAGGAGGGCCTCCAGAGGCTCCCAAGATGGCCCAAGCGGGCCCCGAGTCGCCGAAAGACCGCTCCAGGACGCCCAAGATAGGCCCAAGACGGCCCGAGAGGCCCCCCAAGGCACTCCACGACGCTTCAAGACGCCTCTCCAGAGCGCTTCCAGAGGCCGAAATCGTCAATTGTACGAAGGTTTTCGAACGATTTTGGCCTTCCAGCCTTTTCGGCTGTCCGACGTTCCAAGACGGCTCAATAGGCCCCCAAGGGCGCCCCAAGACGGCCCAAGAGGGCCCCAAGACGGCCCCAGAGTCGCCCAAGACAGCCCAACAGAGCCCCAAGACGGCCCCAAGATGCGCCCAAGAGGGGGACCACGACTCCAAAATTCGACACTCCCGCTTGAAGAGTGCCCCAGGAGGCCCCAAGGAGCCCCCAACTGGCCCCAGGAGGCCCCCAAGAGGCACCCAGGAGGCCCAAACGAGGCCTAAAGAGGCTACAAAACAGCCCCGAGGAGGCTCCACAACGGTCCCAAAACGGCTACCGAGAAGCTGCGAAACTGCCTTCACGACGTCCCCGACAGGCCAACCACGAGATCCACACCAACACCCATGAGGCCTCTGACCCACCACCCAGGGCACGGTGGCGGGAGCAGTGACAGCACTTGTGCACAGCATGTTCCGGCGGGAGCCTTCCGGAACACGCTGCAGGAGGAGGAGGAGGAGGAGGAGGAGGAGGAGATCAGGAGGAGAGAGAGTTGGAGTGGGAGGAGGAGGAGGAGGAGGGGGACGAGGAGGAGGAAGAGGCCTCCCAGACAGCTCCAAGATAGCCGAAGAGACTTCCAAGAGGGCCCTGCGCGGCCCACGAGGGCCCCAAGGCGGTGCCTGAGGCGCCCAAGACGGCCCGAGAGGGCCCCAAGACGGCCCCAAGAGAGGCCCAAGAAGGGAAACACGAACCGAGAATCCGAGCTTTCTACCCCGAGAGGTTCTCGGGAAGTCCCAAGAGGCCCCCAATCGGATCCAAGAGGCCCCCAAGAAGCTCCCAAGAGGGCCGACGAGGTTCCAAGAGATCTCCCAAGGCGGCCCCAAGAGGCACAACTCATTGTTTTACGATTGGGCTTCGACGGGTTTTAATGTTTTCGGCCTTTTGGCATCCCGATGCTCCAAGACGGCCCAAGAGGCTTCCAATACCGCTCCCATATAGAGGAAGAGGACTCCAAGAGGGCCCCAAGACGGTGCTTGAGGCGCCCAAGACGGCCCGAGAGGGCCCCAAGAGCCCCAAGAGAGGCCCAAGAAGGGGAACGCGACCCAACAGCAGATCGGTCCCCCCACAAGGCACACAGGAGGCCGCTAGCTTCCCGAGGGCCTAAGAGGCCCCTAGGAGACGTCCAAGAGGCTTTAAGATAGCCCAAGAGTGCCCTCGATGCGTCAAAACTGCTTCCAGGAGGCCCCCGGGAGGCTTCCGGATTGCCTCAATCTGGCCGCAGGTGGCCTCAAGTCGGGCTTCCACGCAGCCAAGACGGCCAATGACGGCTTCAGATTGCAGAACCGATGCCCCCAAGGGACCCTCAGACGCCCCCCCAAGAAGCACCCAAGAGGTGCCTCCAACAGCCAGTTGACGAAGCATGCGGAACACCCCAGAAGCTCCTCAGATGCCGTCGCGCGCCTGTGCTTGATATCGTTGTCCAAGATCGTCCAGCGCCCCCCAGGCCTGGGCTAGAACCTGAGCGCGCGCGAAGCGCGCGCGATGGTTCTAGTGTGTGTATATATATACATATATATATATATATATATATAGGGACGATGCTTTACAATGTTTGAGCATTTGTGCTTGCATGTTTGGGGTGTCTTTATTTTTCGTCCCACATCCGCCTGTATGGGGGACATGCCCGACCTACTCCTGGGGTTGTCCTGGGTGGGTAGGGGAGGCCAGCCTCGGAGGAGGAGGAGGGGGGGGGGGGTCGATCCCCGGGAGGGCCCTGCTGCTGCCGCCCCCGGGGGGCGGGCTTAGAGACTTCCCAGGCTCGAGATTCCAAACGTCTCCTCCCAGCTGCTGGGGCGACGGGGGGCCACAACTCTCGAGGGGGAGGGGGAGGTCGATTCTCCGGGAGGGCCCTGCTGCTGCCGCCCCCGGGGGGCGGGCTTAGAGGCTTCCCAGGCATGATGTGTCAAACGCTTTTTCCCCAGCTGCTGGGGCGACGGGGGGCCACACTTGCAGAGCCTCTGAGACAAAGCGTTGGCACTTGTCAGGCGATCGCAAACATGGATCAAGGGGGCGTGGATTAGCGACGGGTCCCGTTTCCATGGGAAATCGCGGATGTCCGCCACCGAACGGGTCGGCGCCGGCCGCATTTTGGGGAGGACACCTCCCCCGATCCATGGATTTGGCGACCGCGCGCCGAATCCATGGATCGCTAATCCATGCTTGCGCGCCCCCGAACTTGGTGGGTCACTTTACCTCGGCGTCAGCCTTTTCACCCTCGGCGTTGCTGGGGGGCTCCAGTCTGGCCTGCGGCAACTTTGGCCCTTCTGTCAGATGCGCCGCTGCCAGTTGCGAGCCGCCATTCGGGATCGCCTTACTCCAGGTTGCTTTCTATCCGCATGTGCGTTGGTGTTGTGGGTCCTGGGGCCGATCGGGGCGCTGGCGGCTCCCACCGTAAAAATCGGCCCGAGCAAAACGAGGCCTTTGTGCAGGTCTATAGCTCCTTGATAGTCAACATAAATCTGGGCGTTGGGCTCTGAGTGGAGACCAGCAGCAAGCAGGGCACAGTGCTCAGCAGCGGGGGAGGTACAGAGGAGGTTGGCCGCAACCCGCCCGATCATATACTCCAAAACGTTGCCGTACCCATCTATGGCCACAACAGCACACCCTGGAAGGTTATGTATATTGTACCCGCTTGGCTTGAGGCAGGACCCGTCGGTATAAAGGTTGCCTGCAAACGCTTGCTGCGGGATTATAGAGCGATCTTGGCACCAGAACTTGAACTGTTCATGGCCATCTTCGTCGGAGCTCCATTGTTATACGGTGGGGCGGTGGTGTAGGAATGGACCCAGGAGGCGTCAGACCCTGGAAGATTCCTTACCTGATGAGGGCGGCGGTGACATCCATAGCCAAGCCTCCATTGGTGTTTCGCTGGCTTCAAGATCCTAGATTCCTTGTCTAAGGATTCCTTGTCCAATGACCTCACCGTAGCCTGGACATCACTGAAGACCATGTCCAGAGACCCGATGGATCAAAAGGTGCAGACGGCGGGGGTCGAGGGAGACGCGGTTGGCCACTCCTTAGGCCGTGGGGCCCCAGGAGAATCTTGGATGTCATGCCGAACATCCAGATGCGGCATGACATCCAAGATGTCATGCCATCATACAAGTCACGTCATACAAGATATCATCCAGAGGTGGCATGTCATCACGACCAAGTCTTGCATGGCCCCAGATGCGTCACCCGTTTAAGATATCATGAAGGCCAGATAGGGCCAGCGTCTGAAAGTGGCATTCTGCTTGAGACTTCGTCGGAAACAAATCGCCTTCCAGGGCGATATGAAAAACTGCCATGCCGTCTGAAACTGACGATTTCGCCTGGGATTCGGCAAAAAAAAAAATAACGGACCAATGTTCATGCCGCCTGAGAGTGGCGATTTCGTTCGGGACGTCCTCAAGAAGCATGATCTGGCTGCGTTCGGGGTAGAGGTGAGCACGATTCTAGACAGAACTGCCCGCTGCGGTGCTCAACGCCCTGCGGTGCCGTTCCATCGTCCGGTACACGGGTCGGCCTTGGAGTCATTTGGGAATCGGCCGACGCTCGAGGGTCAATCGACAAGGGAGGGCCCAGGGTGCTGCCCCATCGCAACGTCCCGATCACAACTTTTGAATCCAGGCGATGGTAGGAGCGAGGCCGTGATATCCTCTAGCTGTTCAGTTTCGTGTTCGGTGAAAAGTTGTCCCGCAATTGTGCTGACATGGGGCACTGCAGCAGCCTGTGCCCGATGTTCTCGTTGTCGTGGCCACGTTCACGGCGCGGCGCCGCCCGGCATCTTGCTGCGATCAATCGGGCGCGAGTCCGAAAACATTGCGTTAGACAAACAACGGGTGTGGAGCAGCCGTATTTGTCAAGCTGCTGGTTGGCAATGACCTGTCGAGCGACAAAGACGTCTAAGATTCCGTCTGAATGGCCAAGCTTGGCGGCAGTTCGTTGCAAAAATTGACAGGCCCCAGGCTTCCTGCATGTTCTGGGTCACGAACTTCGGGGTACAACTGGCGAGGGCAACGTCGGCCCCCCAGGCGCCCCGAAAAAACAGAACGCGAAACTCCCGTCCAGCCGATCCTGTTGAGGGATGCGCTGGCAGCCCCAAGGGGCCTCCCACGGCTTGCCAAGTGGACGGGGTTGCTGCTAGCATTGGCTGGGCGTGCGCCCTCCAAGCCATCGTCGGCCACGCCAGCGCTGGTCCTGGGGCCGCTCTGCACGGCGGGCCCCCTAGCACTGCTAGGGAAAAGGAACGATTCTTCGTCGCGGTCCTGGGTCCTACTGCCTTGAGATACTCTGCTTGCAACGCCTGTAGCTCCTCCAGGTCGCCATTCGGAAAGACGCGGTTGGCCCAGGTGCCACGGCAGCAGGATGTCGAGAAACTCCACGGAACGAACAGCGATTCGTTGGAAGCTAGCGGCGAGGCCCAGCGGATTTCGCTGCGCCAGCTGCGCAAGCAGCACTTGGCGCAGTCTGACCTCGAAACCGTGCTTTGTAGCATTGGGCACCCAGCACCGCAGGATCCAGACACCACTGCACACGTTCGCGTCGCGCGGGACACTGACGCGCATGGCCGCAACATAATTTCTGGCTGCGCGACCCGCGAGCCCTTCGATTTCACTTCTGCGAGCACGCCAAGCGGGGAAGAAGCGCATGTCTGTCCTTTTCCGCTTGCGGGTTCTTCTGCAGCAGAGCGAGGGCTCGCGTCCTAAATCAGTGGAAACAGGATGGGCCCATAAAGAATTCGGGTTCGCGCGTTCGTCGACGCCGGGGCAGTGAATGCAAGAGTCGCAATAGGCCTTGCAACCTGCTGCGTCGCCCCTTTCCATCGGTCGCCGAGCGCTTGCACTGCGAGGCCAAGTTCTGCGCCGTTTCAGCGGCGCGGCGCAGCACTTGCACGCGCGCCCCCGGGAAGGCGCAACGGCGATCGAAATGGAGCCAGACCACCCGCGTCAAGAATTGCGCCAGATCGCTTGTTCTGGGGAGCGGGATCCTGTCGACAAAGCGCGCGCAGTGGCATTACATAGTCCATATCTTCCAGCGTTTCGCCTCGGCGCAGCCAGTCGTCTCTACGGCCGAACGTCTGGGCGAAAAGCTGTTTCGCGCCAGAGCTCGCGCCGCCGCCGCCCCCCGCCAGCACGACGCGCGCGCCCCCCTCGTCGTCGTCGCCGCTTGGGCTCTGGTCTTCTTATTATGCTAATCATCCTTTCTGCATCTCCTTACTCTTCGCCGCCCCCCCAGCGGCCCTCGCCCTCGCCATCGTCTTCGCGCGCCGGCTCTCGGCGGAGGCGGTCGGCAGCGCAGTCGCGCAGCGCCGGGTTTGGCAGGCTCGCTCCGCAGCAGGGCGCGGCGCCACGAGCACGCGTAGCGCCCCGGCATCCCAGGGCCCCGTCGGCCGCGCGCCAAGGAACCGGAGTCCGTCCGCGGCGGCGCCGCGATCGAGGATGCGTTTGCGCGCGCGCATCACTGCCACGCCTCTGCCAGGGAACATCCTCCGATTTGCGTGCGCCGTGACCGCGCCGGCCCCGGTCTCGATGGAAATGGCGAGCTCGCAGGGGGAGAACCATGCAGCACGGTTCGCGCTGATGTCGAAGCGCCGGACCCGGCGCCTCGCCACGCCCACGAGCGCGGCCCCCTGCGCGGGGCCCCACGCAGCCTCTGCCGCACTCGCCGGGCGCCCCTCCGCGCTACCAGCGCGAGCGCGGCGCGCCTCCTCGCACTCGATGCGTCGCATGCCTGCGATGAAAGGGCTGCATGATGGGGACGAGCTTCTCCTGGCACTTCACCGCCGCCGGCTTCGCCGCGCGCGCACCAGTCGCTAGCGTCGTCGCGGCGGTTTCAGCCAGCGCCCCGCAGGCGCGGCGGCAGCCACGCGCACGGGGGGCCATTCTGTTGCGAGAAAGCGAACGCGGCCCCCCTGACATGGGAAGCTGATGTCAGAGCGAACCGCCGCCTGCAGGTCGTCATTGGACGAGGAAGCGAATGGCACGGCGCGCGCGGGCACGGCTTTCCCGCGCTCTTTCTGGCCGTCACTGGTTGCGACGCACGCGCGTGGGACAAGCTCTCTGCCGCGCCCAGATTCACATTCGCGGCGCTTGAGACCATCGGGAGCACGCATGGATAACATCGATAGCGACACTGTCGCGGGCGAAGCTCGCAGCCAACGCCGCGCTGTCCGCAAACGAGTCCTCCGCTGCGGCGGCGGAGCGGAATGGCTTACGGGCGCCGAACAATTCGCCCCCGACGCAGCACTGCCCGCCAGCGAATTCGCGCCCTGTCGCAGCGCTGCCTTCGACAGAACAATGACCGCACTCGCCCCGCGCGCGAATTCGACCGAAGCTGCTGGGAAGGCGGCAAGTTGGCGTCTCGCACTGCACTGCCCCTGTCAGCGGCAGGTGTTCGCAGGGGTTTGGCGGCGGGTGCTGCCGCTCAATCGACGCCTGCAGCTCGGCTTTGATCCGCCCGCTGGGCTCTGGCCCCGCGGTGGGCAGTCGCGGCCAGACGCGCCCGTCGTCGCCCATCCTCGCGGGCTCGCCGTCGAGGCGGCCCCCCGCGCTGCCGTCGCGCCGAGAACGGCTCTGGCTTCGTTGCAGCATTGCGTTGCCGCGCGGGCTGCGTGGCCGAGTCGCGATGGACCGCGGCCGCCGCGCGCGGGCGCTCGCCGCGCGCCCGCCCGCAGAATTCCTCGAGCTCGCTGCTCCGAGGCGGGCGGCGCGCCGGCGGAGGGCGCGCACTCGCCGCGCCCGCGCGAGAAGTCGCGACGCTTGTCCGTTTCAGCGGGTCCAAGCCCGAGCGCGCAAACTGCGCGATGCCGATCTGGCAGCGAGCGGCGCCATCGCCCTCGCGCGGAGGCTGCCGCCGACGGCCGGCGAACCCTCTTCTCGCAGAGGAAAGCGCTCATGCATAGGAGCACTGCGTGCGCGGATTTGCCCATGAGCCGACACAGGAGACTTTGAGTCGCCTGGCGCCTCGCGAGATCTCGATGCACTTCGCGGAGGTGCTTCGCGACGTCTCGACGCAGTTCGCGGACGGCAGGCACATCGGGGCAATCGGCGCGCAGATTGGCAGCGATCGGCGAACGCGCGCCCGCGAGTCTCAGCGGGCCGTCGTAAACGTTCAACCCGTACCCCCGCTGTCGCAAGCTAACATTGCAGCCCTGCGCTTGGAGGTGTGCTGGCCGTCTGTAATGTCACACACTGGAGCGCTCGCAGGAGCGGCTGCAGTTTGTGCTCGGCAGCGGCGCGCGCGATCTGCGCGAGCTCCGATGTCCGCGTCGCGCGACGATGGCGGCCGGCGCCTCGAAGTGCAGAACTTCCGCGCATGTAGTTTTTCAGTTTTGACGCCGGCTGCCCACTGGCCCCCGCTGCCTCTCCACACGCCCGGCGCGGCGCAAGGCGTTTGCTGCCTGCGCCACGCGCTCGCGACGACAGCTGGCATGTCGGGGGTGCTCCAGCGGAAGTGCGACGGCGCTTTGTAGCAACCGCCAGGGGTGAGCGGGTCGACCGCGTCGGACGGGAGAGCGCACTCCAATTCTTCGCGCTCGATCAAGTAACGAAGGACCCGCTGAATTCGCCCTCGACGCGGCTGGCTCAAGTTCGGGGCGCAGTCGCCGCCAGAGAATTGCACGAACGCCGAGGGCCACGCCCGCGGCTCGACGGCGCCCGGCAGCCCCCCCGGCCCGACGCGGAAGGCTTGCGGCGCATTCGCCACAGCGCTCTCCACGCGCGCAGAGGCCACCGCATCCTCGAGCTGGCTCCGGCAGCCCGCGCCCACGCACTGAGCCGCGGCGCGAAGATCCACGACGGCCGCCGCGCAAGCGGCTCTCGCTGCTACCAGGCTGGTCAGCGGCGGAAGCTGCGCCGGCGATCGGGCCTGCGCCGCCCCCCCAGGAGCCAGGCGCCCCTGCGCTGCGTTCTGCAGCGGCAGCGGCTTCGTCGCGCCGCCGGCGAGGGAGTGCATCCGCGCGCCCGCCTCGCGGAGCATCTCCAAGCTTGTCTCTGGGAAGCAACCATTCTGCCTACGGGCCCCCAGGCGTCGCACACCTGCGCGCCGACGACGAGTTCGGCGGGCGCATTCGCTAGGAAGCCCGCCTCGCTTGCCAGCGACGCTGCGCCGTCGGGCGCGACAGCGCCGCGCTCCGCAGCCGCGGCTCGGTCGCCACTGCCCATACCGAGTTCCGCAGCGGCGCCCGCGTCGCCGTCCCGCGCTAGCGCTGGATCTCGGGCGTCGCCGGCAGGAACCACTCACGTCGCCGCGCGCATAGCCGCCAGACCACGCAAAGTTGGCGCGGAAGCGTGGAGCGCATCTGTGGCTTGCGCGGCGACTGAGATGCCAGGCGGCACTGCCGCCCTGGGCCACCGCCCCCGAGACCGACCCCCGCCCAGAGACGGCGGAGAAGACAGTGCAAACCCGACGCAGCCAGGCGAAGCGGGCGCAAAGCACAGGGCCGACGGAGACCGTCTCCTCTGGACCGACGCCCGCGCGACATTTCTCGGCGGCATTGCCCGTGAAACCCTTGTCCTGCTCATCCGGCGGGCCCGCGCACCGCGGGGCGATCGCGCGGCGGACAGGCATTGCGAGCCCGAGAAGCGTCTGCAGAGCTGTTGCGAGGTCCGCGCGCAGAGGATGCAAGCGGCCTCCCCGTTCCAGCGGCAGAGCGCAAACAGCGGCACCATGGGCTCGCGAGCGCACGCAGGACGCGCGCAGAGGAAACGAATCCACAGATGCGCGCCCAGATGGGCGGCCCCAGCGCACGGCGACAGCTCCCGGCCGCACGCGCGGCTGGCGCGACGCGCTCTAAAGCGGCGCTGCAGGGAGTCGCGGGCTCGTCTTCCAGCATTGGAACTCGTCCGGCGTCGGGAAGCCAGCGGGGCTCTGGGCGAGGCCAGCGCAGCGCGGAGGACGCGTGCAGTTTCTGGCAAGGGGGTCGCGGCCATGCCCGCCCGCGCGCGGCCACGTCCAGAAAGTGGGCGACGTCCTGAGCGCTGCCGACGCAACGCTTGACTGAATATCCGAGGAGGCGGCGGCGCCCGAGGCGCGTCGAATCGTCGCCGCCGAGGTGCTCTGCGGCAGTCGCGGCGGATGCATCGGGCGACTCGTTGCCCCCATCGTTTTCGTCGCCTTTGTTCGCGAGGAGGTCAGGCGGGCAGTCGCGAAAGAGATACCAGGCACGGCGCCATCGATCCAGCGCACGCGCGCGCAGACGACGCACCCCACGAGCTGCCGCAAGCAAGCTTCAGTCTTGCCGACGCTTGCCCGGCTGCGAAAATTCCAGCTTTGACGCAATTCGTTGCAGGATGCTCCTTTTCCACAGAGGAACCAGTGGCAAGTCGCCCTGGTTCGCCCTCCAGATCACCCGCTTGCACGCTTCCGCCCAGATGCGACGCCCCGCTTCGCAGCGGCGCTACAGCGCTCTGGAGTCCACGAAGCCTTTGGCGCAAAGCAAACACAGCTGCGGCGCATGCAGGACTGGCACTCCGCAGCAGCTGCTTCTGCGCGCCTGGGACTGCGCGGGCACTTCGGCGGCGGAGAAGGCTTCGGCAAGCAGTGCTGCGAGTTTCTGCTGAACTCCAGCGGCCTTCCCTCTTGCCGCGCCAAGCGGCTGTGCAAGATGCGCAGAGCAGCGACTTGACCCAGGCCCGCCGAAGCGAGTCTGGGCGCCACGCTGGCTGCATGGGCGAGTTGGAAAAATTGGTCCGCCATCTTCTCGGCCGTCTGGGGCGCAAGACGCACAACCCAGGGCGACAGGTGCCATGTATCTGCGGCATTCAGTGCCAGCGGTGGTGGTCGAGCGCCACGCTCTGCAGCAGCTGCGCCGCCCTCGGCGCAGTCTCCTTCCCTCTGCCCCACGCAGACAGCACGATTCCGCGCAGGAGGTGGCGGTGCGAAATGCGCCACGGTGCGCAGGACGGGACCGTCCGATGCGAAGTTCACCAGCAGCGCGGCGAGGTCGGCGGCGGACCTTAGCCGCGCGGGGGGGCGAGCGCGGGTCGACGTTGCCCTCAGAGAAGGCGCACTTGAGACACCGACTGTTGGCATTTGAAGGGGAGACCTCGTCGCTTCGGCTTGATGCAGCTCGGAAAAGTGCGTCTGGACAGCGGGAGAGCCCTGGGGAGCGATGTTGAATGGATTTCGAAGCGTCGGCGTCTCAATCTGGCCTGCTCGGACGACTGCTGCCGGCACTTTTGGGAGACGCCCTGCTGCTGCGCAGCGTGCACAAGAGGCACCGCGCGCTGCGGGTCGGAGCTTGCCCCGAACTCGGTCTCGGGAGTCGACGACATCGCAGCGAAGGACAGGAGGCGATTCACGAGGGGCCCGCGCCTTCCTCGTCAGCAAACGGCAGACGCGCGAACGCACTCGTGTCCACCAAGGCCACGCGAAGCTGGCGCAGCGTCTCTGGCGCTTTGTCCACGAATGGCACAAA